TATATTTTATATTTTTTATAAATTTAATAAATATTATATCAAATATAATGTAATCTTTGCAATTTTATACTATTTATAGTTTTTTTATTAACAAATTAATATTAACGTAAAATATATCTATAATTTTTTTATTACAACTATGATTATTTCAAACTAATTCAAACTAAACGCGCAATATCTCGAATATGAAGAGAATAATGGGCTGCGTTCAGAAATATTACCCGAGTAACTTCTATATATTAATTTTCCCTTGTTATTTATTAGTAAATGTTAAACAATTAAGGATAAAACAATTTGGCCGGCTTAAATTGACTCTTGTCTGGGCAAGCGCCACGAGAAAAGCGAAGAAAAAGAGGATAAAACAATGTTTTATTTTAATTAATTTTTTCTCTCCTGGGGGTTGATTGTGTATCTTGAAACGAGGTGTAATTACAAAAATGAGTAAGTTCTAGATACTGGCCAATAAAATTAAAAATATCCTAGTAAATTTACTCACTTTTGTAATTTTCACCTCGTTTCAAGATACACAATCAATCCCCTAAGGGAGAATTCGCGCCTTGACAGAAAAGCAGAAAACAGTATAGCAAAAACCAATCAGAAGTTGCACTTAATTATCAAGTATAGCACTTGGTAGCTAAGTGCAACTTCTGATTGGCTTTTGCTGTTCTGTTTTCTGCTTTTCTGTCAAGGTATGAATTCTCCCTGAGTCACTCGGATTATACAATTACAATATAAAAAACTGAAAAAAATATGTAACGTTCGAAAATTGTGTATTAAAAATTGATAAATTTTTTTTTTATTTTGTTGTGTTGTGTACGTGTTTTAAACTTGGATAAGGTCGTGCGCATAAAAATGAATATTAAATATTAGAAATAGCTAGAAATTAAAGTTTTAAATGGTTTTTCAGCTGAGAAAAGTGGTTCTAAAATTTTAATTCTTATAATCCTTATAAAATTTAATATTCCTCCGTTGTGTGCACAACCTAATGTTTTTCACTGCGGCCATATATGGACTATAACCAATCGATATATAGTAATCAATCGATTGATTGCAGTCGATTATTGCAGATTCGGCATTTGGCTATCTGGCTATTAACCGGGTATAATTTGTTATTTTGTGATATTTTTCATTGTAATCAGTAAGTATTATACATAATATGTTTAATATATATGTATTCTAAAACATATTTTAATACTTTGTGACAAATTTTGCTAACAATTATTTATTTTATGTAAGGATGAAGAAGATATCTTCGAATTTAATTGTTTAACCTAAAAATGACACTGCGGTACACTACCCTTAACTTTTCAATTGAATTGGTAAATTCGGGAATTAAATTCATATCACAGCACTACAACAATATTATTGAGCTGCAACATTCACCAATTTAATTGAAAACGATAATATACCGCAGTATAATGTTTAGATTAAACTATCAAATCAAAAAATATCTTTTTCATTTTTACATAAAATAAATAATTGTTAATTAGCACACTAAAACATATTTTAAGGATTTTAGTGAAAAGAAAATTTTTATTATTAAAGAACAAACATAAATAACTCAGATAGGCTGTGTTAACTCAGGAATGTGCTAAAGCACATTAACATAAAAAAGCAAAGTAACATATTTGATTTGCTACTGCCTACGTTAATTGCCTTACAATTTCGATTATAATTTGTTGATTTATTAATTTACGTTTTAATGTTTTTTTTATGTGCCATATCTTTATGGTAAATTAATTTATACCTAATTTTGTTTAAATATGATTTACATCGGAAATGTATATTTAATTTTCAGAAATGTATTTTGTTGTCTTTTGGGATGAATGGTGTGCTACAATACCAGCTTCTTGGCTTAGCCTAAAGACTAAAAATTTCAGATGGCCACCCAAAAATAAGAATCCTTCTACAGAAAGTAGAAAAGGAGCAAAGCCTCAAGAAAACTGGACATCAGTTCCATATTCAAAATTCTTAGGACCTTTTGGTATGTAATTGATAAAAAGTTACTTTATTAACAAGTTTTCTGAAATTTTAAAAACAATAAAAATCTAATTAGAATTAACGCAGTAAATTATGTGCTAAGTTACAATTTATTTAATGATTTATGAAAAGAATTACAGGATGTAACTAACTTTCTAATTATTATCAGCACAAAAAGGCATTTTTATACATAATATTTACGAAGAGTAAACAAATCATTAATAAATTAAAACTAAAGCAAGACTACTCAGTTTAAAGTTACAAAACTAAACATTTTCATTCTCTGTAACTTTATATATCATATTTGTATTTATTTTGTAACTGTCTTTTATTTTCTACTTATGTAATTTCGGCTTCATATTTATTAACTTTTATACGGTGATATGCTTTTGCTGCAATATGGATATACACAATTTGGTTCTATCTAGTCGTGCAAATGTTTGTATATAACGTTTTTTTTTTAAAGTGACTGAAGATCTCACTGTTGAACTGTGGCGAGTTATGCATATTAAGATAAAATGTAATTAAAAATGTGTGTCTATTTTGCATTAATGATAGTTAAAAAGATTAGCCACGTCTTATAATTCTTTTTATGAAATAAGTTTTACTTATAACAAATAGCTAATGGAAATTGTTTATTGCGCTAATTTTCATTAGTTATTTGACTATATATATATATATATATTATATATATATAAATATATATATATATGTATAATATATATATATTTAATATTTAATATATATATATTATAATATATATTTGAAATTAAAAATAATTACATAATTTTTTATATAAAAATTTTAATTTTAATATTTAAACTTGAAATTTATCTGTAGTAGCTATTATAGGCCGGTTCTAACTAGGGAGCTCCGAAGGGGGGTGAGGGGCAGGGGGTCCGCGGGGAGGGGGAAACCGCTCAGAACGTTCACGGCCTGATGCGGGGTCCGCGGGGAGGGGGAAGCCGCGGAAAGCCGCTCGCTCAGCTGGCCTGACCGCGAGGTCGTGGGTGCGGGATGCGCGGGGAGAGGAGAACTACGTCGTGGATGCGCGGGGGCGGAGGAACCGCGTTGTGGGTGCGGGATGCGCGGGGAGAGGAGAACTACGTCGTGGATGCGCGGGGGCGGAGGAACCGCGTTGTGGGTGCGGGATGCGCGGGGAGAGGGAAACCGCGTTGTAGGTCCGGGATCCGCGGGGACGGGGGAACCGCGTCGTGGGTCCGGGATGCGCGGAGACGGGGGAACCGCGTCGTAGGTCCGCGGGGAAGAGGGAACCGCGTTGTTGGTCCGCGGGGAGAGGAGAACCGCGCTCGCCGCGTTCGCCGCCGCCGCCGCTCGCGTTCGCCGCCTCCGCCGTTGCGCACGGGTCCCACCCCACGTTTATCGCTCGCGGTCCCACCCGCACGTACGCGAAGAGGAAGAGGAGGAGAAGAAAATAGAATAGAAGTAAAATACGAAAAAGTTTTTATTTTAAAATTTAATTAATGTAAAAATATATAAAATATGATTTAAATTGATATATATATTGTCACGAGCTCCCGTGAGTCAAGCAACTCACACGAGCCCGGATCAAACAAGGTTGCGGGAGTCGCGTACGACTCCCGCGGAGGGAAGGTGACAGTCCTCCGGAATTGTGTCCCTCCGGCGACCGACGAGGAGCGGCAACGCGAAAAGCTGGGCGCCAGACGTGTTCTCGGTCACGTCAATCGCGAAACTTCATGATTACCGAAATTGGTACGCGCAACGATACTTGACCCGTAAACGCCGCTCCCGA